CCCCCCGCAAACACCTGCCTGTGCAGCTAGGTGCACCCTGAGACCCAGTGGACACGGGGGTCCCCGCCTGTCTCGGGGCCTTAGCGGCATCACACACAGGGGGACTGTGCCCAGCGCGTGTCCCGGCCTCAGCCCTGCTCACCTGGCCTGCATCGTGGGCCCTAAGGGTGACCTGCTCCTGCGGTGCGGGGTGAGTCTCCCCCGGGGTGACCCCACCCGGCACTGCTGCAGGGAGCCGGCCCCCGCCCTCGGTCCCCACCGGACGCAGGCCCACAGGCGATGCAGAGGCGCCTCCGGGCTGAGCCAGCGGCCCGCGTGTGGGTCCCGGGTCACAGGGCCGGAACCCGCAGGCGGTTGGTTTACCTGCAGGTCCGGCCATGCGGGGGGCCGACTGGGCCCGGCCGCTGCACCCCTTCACTGTCTCACTCAGTGTTGTGCCCACCCTCCCCATGAGGACGGAGACAGGAATGTTCTAAGGAAATTTTGATTCTGGATGAATGAAGGTAGTAAAATGAGTCATTGTGCTCCACAGTCTTGAAGTGGCCACGATGGAGCTCGTGCTGCGCCGGTCAGTTAAACATCTTTGGAGCATGAACACCAGCCCACAGGTCACGGAGGCACCCCCAAAGGCCTGTTTCTGTGCCCACAGCCCTGAGCCATGAGTACAGACAGCTGGAGAATTCTGGAGACCTGGAGACAGTTGGCAGCGCCAGGCCGAGGGACCCGGTTATGAGAAGCTCAGGCTCGGCCCTCCTGGCTGTTCTCTGTCCCGTGGGCCTGGAATGTGCCAACCCGGTGCGCTCAGCTGGCATTTCTTTCTTACTGTGTCTCGAGTTTCTCCCTTCACTGTGCACTATCAGCTTCTCTGTAATCGCGATTCTACCTGACATTATGCACCTTACACTGTGTGAACGCTTCATGTACCAGCTACAATTACAGAACTTGATCACTGGCCCTGTGCTCCCAACGTGAGGGAGCTGCTGGAACCTACAAGAAGGGCGCAGGCCCGGCCCCAGCTCTGCCCCGCAAGGCGGGGTGCGAACCCGGGTCTAAGCTGCCTCGGGAATGAAAAGGTCCCTTTAGATTTCGCTGCTTTTCATTATGTTTACAACAGCATTTCAAACTGTTGTTTTGCTTAAAAGCCAAAATGAACAATGAAATCTAAAATCTTCCGCATCTGAGACGGATTCTCCTGCCCCCCGGCGCCCCGCCCAGACGCCCCGTCGCCCGCCCAGCCGCGGGGCCACCTGGGCTTGGCAGGGCCGTGGC